AGGATCTACCTTCTATGAAGGTTAGGGTCTATTGAGGATGAGTTAAAAACTAATGTTGATTTTATTCAAATTTCTGAAATTTCTTCTGAAAATGCTGTCATATTCCAAGAAACATTATGGCTGTTTTGTTTTTGTTTCGTTTTGTTTTGTTTTGCTTTTTGAGATGCAGTCTTGCTCTGTCGCCAGGCTGGAGTGCAGTGGCAGCATCTCAACTCACTGCAACTTTGCCCTACCGGGTTCAAGCTATTCTCCTGCCTCAGCCTCCTTAGTAGCTGTGATTACAGGCGTGTGCCATCACGCCTTTCTAATTTTTGTGTTTTTTAGTAGAAACGGGGTTTCACCATGTTGGTCAGGCTGGTCTTGAACTCCTGACCTCATGAGCTGCCTGTCTTGGCCTCCCAAAGTGCTGAGATTACAGGCGTGAGACTATGGCTGTTTTTAAAAATCAACTTGCACTCTGGTTACTAGCAGTTTGGTAGTCATTGTGAAAGTAAGTTTTTGCTTCATTTAAACATATATGGTGTACAGTAATTATCTTATTTGTTAAATCCCAAATAATTATTCCCCAAATTTAGACACCTATTCAAATCCATTAGACAATAGTCTATCAACCAAAACTAAATGAAAGCAATTTGAATTTTTATTTTCATCGCTCTTGAAAAAATTCAAATATGAGTTGATGACAAAATATTTTTAACTCCCGTCTTAAGACTCTCTCTAAACATCTCAAAAACTCTACTGTTACTAAGTCCACTTTACCTTTTGGCACTCCTGACCAATTTCTCTCCTGTTTCTAGATGTGTTTCCTAATTGTTCTTTTCAGTTGCAAATCATAGACTTTCATCTCTTCTGGTTTTTGTTCTCACACATTAACCTTGAACTTCATAATAATATTCAGGGGAAACGGGGCTTGACAAATCCTTCATAGAATAATGGTGGCAATAGCAGGGATTGGGTTTGGAAGGTAAAAGTACCTACTACATGAGAAGATGCTGTGAGCACTTGTGCATTAATATCTAAGGATCTTACAATACATGATAACACTGTGTTTTCTTCATTATGTTAAACAAATCAGCAGCAGTGGTGTATAAGCATTGGAAGACTGAAGACACAAAAAGTACTGAAAGACCTAACGAGAAACGACAGTGGAAGAAAAAAAGTAAAGAAGAGGACATAAAAGGGGGTTTAAACCAATAGTGGGGAAGTCAAACTGAAGAGATGCAGTTTAATGGGCATAAGGTTTCAGACATGCAAAATAAAAACAGTTCTATAGATCTACAGTACAATATGATGCTTATAGTTGACAATTATTACACGCTTAAAAATTTGCTAAGAGGGTAGTTCTCATGCTGTGTATTTTTTTAACCACAATAAAAAAAATCACTGTGGCATGAAAAGGGGTCAAGGGAATACAGATTTGGATCAGCTATTTACACACCATTTCAAAACAATGGAAATAAAAACTTAAGAAAAAAGATGGAAATCACTAGTCAAAGAAGCTAAGTTAGTTCCTTTGGTGAAAGCTTGTTTGCCTGCAGCAAACCAGGAAATAAACCTGGATATCAGTCAAGCTAGGTATTTTGTTTGGGGCAATGATGTTTAATGTATTAAGGGTGACTGATCAAAGAAACCAGTGTAAATGTCCACAGCCTGAGGTTTCCCAGAATTGTTCAGTGCCTATGGTATTCTCTCTGTTTAACAATGATTGTGCATGTGATATATTATTATTATTATTATTATTATGTTTTTTTGGTTGAATCTCAACATAACTTTTTGGGAATAATACTTGATAAAATTTCGGTTATTCCAAGGAGTTCTAGTTTGAGTAATATTAGTTTCATAAAACTATCTATGAGGATCTATAAAAGGTGTCTATATTATTATTCTATATATAGCATCATGATATCAGAGAATATCAGGGTTGAAAGTGACTCTGAAAGTAATTGAGGATAACCCCCTGTCTGATGCTTGAAGTCTCTACAATATCACAGACAAGGTTATGGAAACAAGTTTTTGCTATTAAGTAAGAAAGAAAACTTCATGTAAGTACAAATTAAATTCTAAGTTATATGTTGAATTTTCTCATAACCTGAATTATTTAAGTGTGAATTAGTTGTAATTGTTAAACAAGTAAACAAAATAATTGTTAGTTATTAGTTTTAATTGTTAAACAAGTAAACAAAAATAATGAAAAGTGAATGTGAAATCTCACCAAGAATTCATATTTGGTGATATCATTACTCACAACATGCAGCTAACATTTGTATGAAGAATATTAAAAGTTCAACTAAAAATAAAGTATTCTATCATATTTAAGTTTTCATAGATAATAAAAAAATGTTTGATAAACATTAAAATAGTAAGCTCATAAGTAATATAATTATTTGATATGCCAAAAATAGAGTCTCATAACGAAATAACAAGAGTGAGGGAGGACAAATGCTTCAGTGATGCTGATCAAAGTGTAACTGCTTTTCAGGGAGGAGGAAATGAAACCAAGATGTTTTGAAGAAACAATGTTGAGTTTTGCATAAATAAAGAAGTAGAATGAAATTGAAAAGAATTGTGTACGTTTATTGACGGAGAGTTTCTGCAATATGCTATGGCAGTCCATATGCTTATCAATTATGAGAATTTTGACTTTCGGCTCTGGAAAATATGAGAAATATAGGCAATTACTCTCTGAAGAAAGGAACTCTTTTACCATCCATATGTTATTAATGCCCAGCAGGGCAAGGCAACTTCTATTAAGTGAGCAGCCAGTAATGCTTTATTAACATATCTTTACTAAAGATCAATCTTTGGAAATATTTCACATATAGCATTAACCCCAAACTGTACACTTCAAACATTTTATTTTTCACTTAAATAGAAATTAGATTAAGCTTATTCATTACTATATGTTAATCAGTTTGCAAAGACATCTTCCTGCTTGTCCATAAGCGATAAGCAAAATTAATGATTTAATTTTTATTTTAAAACTCTTCATTGTTGACAACTACCATATGTTTTAAGCAAAGTAATTAGGGGTGTGTGTGTGTGTGTGTGTGTGTGTGTGTGTGCGCGCGCGCGCGCGTATTTGAGAGGGATTGGGGAAAATAATGCAATTATTATATAAAGTGATAATTTCTAGATTGAGGCGTAAAGACTTAAGTAGCTCAAGATAATGAATTCATTCTATATGTGCTTTTCTCTCATCATCTATCGCTCTGTAGTTGTTTTACATCTAAGCTCTTGAACTTTCTACAAAGTTGTGAAATAATAAATGTATTATTTGCAAAGAATAAACCTCATAGACATTTTTCAGAAACATTAATTAGGCCTAATAACATCCAGCAATTGTGATATTCTAGTACTGTAGGATTTTTTTTGTCTCCCATCTACTCCCCCTTTTTTTTTTTAAGAAAAAAGAAATTTCTTCAGTGTTTTAGAGCATGCTTTTGGCAGAAAAATTAAAGATACTTGTTTTGTTCTCAGCCTGCCACTGGCATGCTGTGTGATGCCCTTATACTCTCTTTGCCTCAGTTTCTCCCATTACTGAAATAAAATTATAATGGTTGCCACTTTAAAGTCTCATAGGGTTGCTCTGAGAAATAATGAGAATAGTGTGGTGTAGTTTGACAGAATGAGGCAAGAATTCTCGAACATTAAAGAGAATTTAATATAGATGTTTTAACAAGAAAAATGTTTCTCTTAAGCAATTGTGTAGCAGTGTACTGTCTAATTTCATTAGCTATTTCTCACTAAAGCTTATTAGGGAAATTTGGTTATTCAGGCCATTTTAGAAAATAAAGGAAATTTAAATATTCATGGAAAAAGAGAGTGTGTACATGACCCTTGAAAATAAAGCATTATGAACCAAATGGAAATTTTTAAATGGTTTAGTCTGTTACCTTTTTTATTCAAGCTTGCTTTATTATCAGACATTTTAGCAACCTGAAATTTTACTATAATATCTAAAATTCTTCAGAGAAATTCCAGAAAGCTCGGAAATTTCTCAGTACCATATGTAAATATAAATGTAAAGAGCAAGAAATAATCAATTTTATAACAAAGTATTTTATGTCTCAAATTCTGAGTACCAAAGTTGACTATTGTTAATGAAATGTTTAAATGGAATGATTGTAGGAATGAATATTGGAAATTTTTGTCCTTTTGCTTCATTTTTTTTTTTTTCTATTTCTTCCCAGAACCATGAGTGAGTGATTGGGTATATATTCATTTCATGTCATATAGTGTAACAGAGAGTTTTTATTTATTTTATTTTTCTGGAGAACTACTTAGTACATAGCAAAACTATTCTCTCCCTAGACAAATATAAAACCTAGGTTACAGTAGAAATTTGAAAAGACATCAACTGAAATAACACATATGTTTGTCTTGGATCTTTAAAATTGAAGGAAAAATTGCTGCTTTACCAATCACATAATTTTGTTTTATGACTAAAGCTACTTTAAAAACCAGACTATTACTTATTTTCGCAAACTGTAACCTCAGATAGTTTTATGTTCTTGAGTCAGGTGTATCTTGGTCATACGTCCTCTACTACTTACCCCAGTTTTTTCCTTAAAATTTTCCAAAGAGCTTCAAGAATGATAGAGGCTACAAGGTGCATAATGAAATGGAAATGTTTGTCAATAGGTTTGACATACACCTACCACCTACAGGAGCATTACCTTGATATTTTGCTTAAAAAAAATATATGCTGTTTTTAACAGCACACCCAATGACGGATGGTTTTATATCTCTCTACAGCGTGCTAGGTTGGTGTTCTGGAGCCAATGCACATTTAATAATGAATATTTTTTCTTTTCTTTCTTTCTTTTTTTTTTTTGAGACAAGGGTCTGACTCTTGCCCAGGCTGAAGTGCAGTGGCACCATCTCAGCTCACTGCAACCTCCGCCTCCTCAGCTCAAGTCATTTTCCCACCCCAGCCTCCACAGTAGCTGGAACTACAGGCATGCATCACCGTGTTAGGCTGATTTTTGTCTTTTTTGTAGAGATGGGGTTTCGCCATGTAGCCCAGGCTGGTCTTGAACTCGTGAGCTCAAGCGATTCACCTGCCTCAGCCTCCCAAAGTGCTGGGATTACAAGTGTGAGCCACCATTCCTGGCCTCTATATCTCTAAAGGTACTAGTTTTCCCTCAGTTGCAAAAAAATCATAAATTTACAATCATGTTGGCTAGTTTCTCTAACTCTTCTATAAAATCAATTACTAAGTATTGTAGACTCTTTTCAGATAAGTCATCTTCCAAATATCTCATCTTTTCCATTCTCTCTGCCATTGTTTTAGTTCAGAGCCTTATTATTTTGTATCTAGAATACCTTCATAGCCTTTCCTACTACCATAGTCTTGCCTTCATATGTGTCCTCCAGAAGATTAATCTGGTGAGCCAAAATATTTGACCAGGCTCAAAATAATTAAATGCTCTCCTTTGTTTATAAGAATAAAGTCAAATGCTTTAAACTGATATTCAGTTCCTGCCATAATCAGGCTTCAGTGAACTACTCATTTATTACTAGAGTAAAAAAATGTATCTCAAATAATTTGTGTGCTCCTTACCACCTCCCCCTACATCCTTAGACTTAATCATTCTCAGGGGGGCAATTATATCCACCATCCAAAACACAGCTCAAATCCCATTTGCCTGGTGAACTGTCACTCCAACAACTGATCTATAAGTTAGTTCTTCTTTTAAGTCTTCACTGTTCTTACCACTCATACTTACAGTTGCCATTTGGTGGGTTGCTATTACTTAAAATTTAGTAAACCTTCTTAATCTCCCCAAGGAGACTTTAAGGTCCTGGAGAAGAATACTCTTTTCTTTTTTTTTTTTTTTTTTTTTGAGATGGAGTCTCGCTCTGTCACTCAGGCATCTCAGCGCACTGCAAGCTCCACCTCCCGGGTTTAGGCCATTCTCCTGCCTCAGCCTCCAGAGTAGCTGGGACTACAGGCGCCCACTACCTCGCCCTGCTATTTTTTTTTTTTTTTTTTTGTATTTTTAGTAGAGACGAGGTTTCACCGTATTAGCCAGGATGGTCTCAATCTCCTGAACTCGTGATCCGCCCGTCTCGGCCTCCCAAAGTGCTGGGATTACAGGTTTGAGCCACCGCGCCCGGCCTCCTTTCTTTTTTATATTAAATTCTACAAAGTACCGTTGGTAGATTTCAATAAACATTTTTATAAAACATTTAAAAGAGCAGGAATAAAAGCAACAACAAGAAAAGTGGCAACAGATGACAAACCTTGACCACTTTCTAAATCTGCTCTGATGAACCCTAACAAAAATCAATTAACTCACTAGTGAGGTTTATCTTCATGCTGATGTAATAATGTAATTCCTGATAGTGAGCTGAAAACACACACTTGAAATAGAAATTTACTTCTCCAGATATAATTCCATTGTTGTAGTTCGTTTCATCTTAGATCTTCTACTTGGCTCATTGTCCTTTCTTACCCTAGAAAGATTGACCCATTAAATCCCACAAAGTTCTCAAGATAATTTGGTAGCATATATGTAATAACTTCCATCTGAAAAGCTCAAAACATAACATCTAATTCTTGTTAGAACAACTAACAATTAAAAATCCAAAGTTAAAACCAGATGAGAGAATATTTAACAGAATGACCCTAGATTGCCTAGTAATATGCTGCAGAGGCAAAAAAAAAAAAAAAAAAAAAAGGAGGTCACTTATCTATGTAGAGCTTTGCATTATAATGATAGATTTAACTTCTCTTAACAATGGAAACTTTCTGAGTTTACATTTGGAACGAAAATAGTAAACTACTCTTAAGAAGTATAGTATGAACAAAATACAAGGGAAATCAGTAACAGAGCCATAACAGAGCTTTCCACTTTAAATAGTTTGGTAAAGTTACATACTCCAGTTTCCACTAACTGACATGTGTGAAGTCTAGTTCTCATTATCATAAACGTTTTGAAAGTATAATGCTACCTTTGTAGAGGCAACTCTGCTTATGAGATATTGGAACAAGTTGATTCATAAGGCACTGAAAATGATAATCCAACCCTCTAGAATAAAACATACAAAACAACCCGCAATATTATGCAAAACTATTACTGATGAGAATGCCTCTTCATTCCTGTCTTATATTGCTCTCCTGCTCTATTCCATTTAGAGATAAGAAAATAGACCTTCTATAAAAATGTCTCCTAAGGGCTTATGAAACTTTTGTGAGAGTGAGAGAGGGAAGAAGAAATTGTTCATAAACATAATGGGGATCACTTGGCAATTACTCAATCTACTTGTCCAGTATCCAGTTGTTCTAATTTTAGAATTGCCAAAGTTGATATCTAGTTCAGATAAGAATTGGAAATGAGCGAAAACCACACAGTTATGATCCTGCTTTCTTTGCCCTTTCTCCCTGCTCCCCTACATGTAACCTTTCACGTATTTATTTTGTTATCCACATTCTTTTTGAAGTATGTTGTTAAACCTAAGACCTCATAAAGTAAATCCTTAGAGTTATGAAAAAAGAAACTGAGGTCATTTTAAAGTTGTGTGGCTAATTTACAATCTGAACGTTTTTGCATTTTTCTCATGTTAAAGAAATTTTAAAAACTTATCAATAGATTTCTTTGTGGCTTTTACTAATGAAGTTGTATTTTTTTCTACCCGTGGTAGGTGTTGAATAATTTGAATGGGAATTTGAAGGTTCATGGCTTCCAAACCAGCAGGAGTTAAGGCTTAATTGCTTGGAAATACATTTTCATGGCTGATACCAGTAACAGAAAAATGTCTGTATGTCAAGAGACTCTGTACTAATCAGTTAACCATAACATGTGCCACCCCATACCTAGGGCCAATGTAACTGTTAACAGCTTGAAGCTATTAAAAATGTACCAGTGGAAAACTTTCTTATACTTTTTTCACGAATGTGCTTCTTCACTCTAAATAAAGGAATAGAGAAATTTTATACTTAACTACTGTCAGAGAAAAGGAAAGTACATTCACCTAGTTTGCTTCAAAACATTACATCCAATGGTGTTTATTAAGGTAACACTTTGAAAGTCACTCAGTTGCTAATAAGCTCTCTCTATGTCAACTCAGAGGCTGCCTATTAGATCTAGTTACACTCCAGAGACAGGGATTTGATTTCCAGCTCTGGAGATCAGGTCAAAAATTGCAATAACAATTAGTAATTAGTAGTTAGATCTCCATTTACCACATTAGAAGGTCACTCCTCTGAAGCATTTGGTCTCATGAGAAAGGAATATGGGAGACCATCAACGGTTGACACTTTGAAATCAAGAAAAGAATCTAAGATTCTCCTTGAAATCCTTTGGCACTTTAAGTGTAAATTTCTTAAGATCTCATTTTTATAGAATTAATTAGTGGATTTAGGTCTAAATCCTAAGTTTTACAGCAACTCATACTATGTAACAAAACAATACTCTTATTTTTAATAAGACATAAATTTCATCTTTAAAGTGGTGATCTCCCTGTGAACCTGGATAAAAAGATAAAATGTGAATAGTATTTTAAATGCTACTATCCTCCTAAAATATTATTAAATAATTGAAAATGTAAAATAGTGTAATATCAAATAGAGTCATGTTTTATGGTATGAATGTGACTAGTGCATGAAAGTTTGCAGACAAAGTAAATCTCAGTTCGCAAACTAAGATATGTGGAAAATGCATTTTCTTGATTTTTTAAAGCAAGTTGTCTTCTGCTGTTTATTGTATGTCCCTAAGAATATAATTAACCTTAATTATTATTTGAACTTCTATCCAGTCCTCCACTTGACAACATGTTCCAGGTTCTTGGATCTTACACAGCATCAAAACAATTGGGTCGTGTGTCGCAGTCTGTGTTCATCAGTCAACAGTTTACCAACTTGACTGTGAAAATCTTCCATTCACTTATTTGTGCCTGTTCATCAGGTCTGGGAGACTTGCTGACTTCATACAGTGGCCCTTAAGCTATGATGACAATATATGAGACAGAATCATTGGTGCTTCCATTACTACAGCCTGAGGTGTCTTTTGGAGTGTATCTTTCTGGGATCTTACTGTCTTCACCAGAACATTGTCAGAAAATAGGACCCCAGCTTCTATCAGTCCAGAGCATATATAACTCTCTCCTCTTGACAGCTAAGAGAATGTCTTTTGAGCCTGAAGGAACCCTTTCTCCTTCCTGTTTCACCTAAGATGCCTATCTTTGTCATATACTAAAATTATTAGAAGACAAATTACAGGACATTTTATAAATTACTACTGTGTTCAGATTTACCACATACCTCTTTTGAGGCACTAAAGCACAGAGCTAACCAACTATCTTAGTGGAGTGAAGGGAAAAAAAATTAAAAGCAGAAGAATTAAACATAAGTTAACATCCCAAAGTATTATCCAGGTATAATTATAGAATCAATATTTTGAGAAGTCAAGACATAGGTTATATGAAATGTTTTGATGATTATTTTGAAAATGTTAAAAACAACACGAATTATTTCTAGTATCAGCTAAGTACTAGAAATTTCAAAGGCAAACATTAATCTTATACATATAAAATGTAGGTATTACTAATGATTTAAGGAAGAATTTTACCGCTAGAATCTTTCCCAGCAAGTCTATAAGTTTTATAAAAATAATAGTAAAGTTCTAGCAAGAAAGGATCTTTCTGGAATTAAAAATTGCATAGGTTAAGAACTTTGGGGTGCAAGAAATAAAAGCTTTCCTTAGGTTACCTTAAGTAATGGAGTTTTAATACTCCATTTTAAAGATCACCAGAATTTTCATATTGCAGGAGTTTGTGATGGGATATCTTGTTGGAAAGAAGAGCTAAGTAAGTGGTCTCATATTTTCCTTCTATAACATAGTCATTGCTTTTACTTACATTGTTTGAACTCTTTCATCCCACTGATGGAGCAGAAAATTAATAATAACATATATTAGCATGTTGACATCTAATATGGTTTGGCTGTGTCCTCACCCAAATCTCAACTTGAATTGTGTCTCCCAGAATTCCCCTGTGTTGTGGGAGAAACCCAGGGGTAGGTAATTGAATCATGGGGGCCTGTCTTTCTCAAGCTATTCTCGTGATAATGAATACGTCTCACAAGATCTGATGGGTTTATCAGAGGTTTCTGTTTTTGCTTCTTTCTCACTTTTCTCTTGCTGCCACCATGTAAGAAGTGCCTTTCACCTTCCACCATTATTCCGAGGGCTCCCCAGCCATCTGGAACTGTAAGTCCAATTAAACCTCCTTTTCTTCCCAGTCTCAGGTATTTCTTTATCAGCAGCGTGACTATGGGTTAATACAACATCCAAATAGAATAAGAGAAATAAGTAGTTGACTTTTTGAAGAAAAACAGGTGTAAAACTGAAACAGAATCAATAGCCCAAAGACAGCAAGAGAAAAAATAATAGTTCATTTTAATTTCAGTGCTCTCCATAACATATAATTGAAAGTGAAAGTTTGCTTTTTTACAAAAAGAATGTTATAATTTGCATATATTTGAAAATAAAGGCAATTAGCTTTAGAGTTAGCATTAAGGAAGTACCATATAAGCCATGTCAAATAAGGTGACCCAGGACACTCCTTCACCTCCTACATTGTGATACCATGCATATTATATGTATAGGCCTAATTTTGATATAGAAATAATGAGCAATGTGGGCCACACGGAGATCGTACTGAGAAGGCACACAGACAGGCACTAAAAAAAAAAAAAAAAGCTATATGTAGTTAAAGGTAGAAATAAAGGCATGATTTTGAGTTTTACACAAATATCTAAATTCAAATATATACATTTAACAACTCTGGTGATATCTACAAATGACTTGCTTCGATGGCTGGATTTGGACAAGTCAATATGTTTATAATTGATGTCATTATAATTCCATTTTGCCTTACCTATCTGCTTAGTTGCATAAAAGAAACTATAGACTGTGAAAATAAGCATAGCCTTTTCTTTCTTATTTTCTGGAATTATAGTGATCCAAATAGTCATAGCACTCCCCTGGCCATAAGCCCTGGAGTTTAGGCCTGTTCAGATAGAAGAAGTTTAATAGTGAATAGCATCATCAGGACACAGCAATGGTTCTGGAAATCCAATAGCAGCTTAATATATTGACAATTTTCTGTTAGTATATCAGCCAGAAAATTACATTCTCAAGCAATTAAACCTTATCTCTTGCTGGTTTTGAAGTCATGAACCATCAAATTTCCTACTTTTGTTAATCAGCCTCTATTCTTGGTCCAAACAGCTATGAGTACAGACAGGGTGATTTGGTAGAGAAAGTACGTAAAGAGCTGACTAGAGAAATTGTTCCAATCCTCATGACTTTAGGCAAGACCGTTTTCCTCAGAAGCAGTTCAGGCCATTTCTAGGACTTGGAGCATAGTGGATTCCTTTGCTGTATGTGAATTTATAGAAAATAAAGCTTAAAGGCATATCAGTTGAGAAAGAAATCTTATTATATAACAATCATTGGAAAGTGATCTTAGCATTTATAAACCAACTTTAAAACAAAAAATAAAATGTAAAATGCATAAAACAAAAAATTAAATTTTAATATCAAATTACTTTTGGAGGCATATAATCTCTATTTTATTTTATATATTATTGATCAATGTGTAAATTATGTAGAAATTGTATATTAAACTTTTAATATGTATAATTTGTGCACTGAATAAATACTGGGCCTTAGACACTACCAAGGGTTATCTTTAACACTGAGACTATAGCACTGCCAAAAGTATATTCTTTTTCTTCGGTGAAAAGCATACTTGATCCCCAAAAAATCCATAATAGCTACCCTATTGTGGTTATGGTAGAAAATTAGAACTTTCTTTAAGAAATATATTATTATATTCTCTTCCATTATGTTTCAATTTGTGATTCTCCATGGTGTTTTCTGTTGGCTCCAACTTCTGGGAGCTTCTGGGCACATCTTGGTGATGACTGACAGGCTGCTTTCGATAGTCTTATTAGCAACAACATCTCTTAGTTGAAGTCCCATATGTAGTTTAGCTATTAGTCCACTCTTGGCAGCCTCAGATGCCATTGAGACAACAATTCTCATACATTGCCCTGTCATTTGACTCAGGTAGGTTTATTCATGTCTTAATGCATATTTTTAAATTATCCTTGAGATTTCCTCTTTCATCCATGGATTGTTTAGGACTGTATTAGTTCCCAAGTATGTAGAAGATGGAGTAGACACACTTTTTTCCTATTCCTTCATCTACGTATAGCTTAAAATCAAGACATTATATATATATAGAACATAAGAAAGTTCTACAAAGTGAAGATAAGAAGGCAGATTGGCTGTGGACTTTGGGACCAAGGAAACAGCAGAGTGGTGATTTTGCTCTGTTTTCCTCTTCCTTCCTATATCCCAGGCTTAGAGCAGAAGAAGTTGGCAACCCTGAAACACCAATCCGTGCAGAACAAAAAGAAAAAACAAAAACAAAAAACAAACAAACAAAAAAATGCACACTTAACAAACAAAAAACCCGCCATCGCCGTCAAAAGTATGTTTTCTCTCTCTCTAACCAAATAACTAGGAATTGGGCAACCCAGAATGACATAAATTTTAGACCACTCTACTTCAGTCAAACACCACAGAAAAAATATGGCTCCCCCATCATCCATGACAGCAAAGGCTGAATGGTGAGCTGAGATTTTGACACTCTTCAGGCTATAATGAGGTACCCCAGTACCCTCTCCAATGTGGTGTTATATAAAGGTTTCAAGTATTACTGGAGGCTGACTGAAGAACCTAGACTTTCATACATACAGGGAAGAAATGAGGGAATACACCCACTTCTTCTATTGGGGTGGTGTCAATGAAAGCCAGCTAAAATGCTGAAGATACAGCAATAAGCAAGATAGGTTATGAC